TATATGTAAAGATAATAAAGATAAAAAAACCTGCTTGGTGAGTCATTTTAATATTTACGACCCTCCGCAAATCTAAGCCATTATCAAGTAGATCAGGCCACGAAGGAGTCACATACTATCATAACGGCATCAATCTATCAATTTCAAATCCCATGGAAACAATCATTTGTAGTAGCAAAATTTATTGTGGAATTCATTGAAGAATTGCCATTGTTTAGCATTAAGAAAAATCTCACCTCTAATTACAACTAAATTCTTGAAAGTTTGACGTACATTCTAACAATAATTTACAACATTACTAAAATCTGTTTTTATCATTTATATGTCTATTATATTCATATATAATTTTCATCGAATTTAATTTATTTAACTTTTAGAGAGTGGGTTTACTGTTTTAAAATTTCTTAAATGATAAAGCTTACACAACACTGGATACATACCTACCTACTTTCTTTTTAAAACATAAATATCTATCATATCGTATGCATATATTTCTTTGATCCAACACCGCGTTTTATCACAAATATATAATTGTGTTTAAGACATCTTTGGATACAAGTACTTCTGTTTTTGTAACACTTTAGCAACCATTTTACACAACAGCCTTGGTGTAGAAAACTTAGTCTAAACGCTCTACAACTTAAAACCTTTGCAGCAAGTTGTATAACATATGTGGGCTTCATTGACAACAATAGACCATGTTAGCCCCCCCGCCCCCCGCCCCCCTCCTCTCGTCGTCATGGGTACCATCGTGGTCAATTCCACGTGAATTTGTGACGATGTTAACACATGATGTGACTTTATGCTCATCCTATAGTATTCCACAGGTGTCCCGTCAGCGTATACCGTTAGCGCAGGCGGGTGTACCATTCCACATTTATCTTTAAAAATACTTCTTACATACAATATATATATTAATATAGCGACATAAATATTCCTATAACCTATTGGAGTATTTTTTAAAACAAGAATATAGACAATATAGCGCTATATATCTTGAGAAAGTAACTCTACTATTATTGTTTTCTCAGTTTTACTACCTTTAAGAAATAATAAAGTAAAAATAAGTACTCACTTACGAAATATGATTCATATATCTCGTAATATTAATTAAAACTCAAGGAATTGTGTAAATAAGAATAAACTTTTTAATTTTCCATATATGTAATTGGAGAAAATATTTAAAATTAATGAATTTAATTTCCCAAATTTACAATAATTAATTGACTATTTTATGGATAAAACAATATGTTAATAATTTATTGAGTAATAATTATAATTTATCTAATAACTCTTTACTGTTATTAGACCTATTCTTAAACAATTATGTAAATAAAAGGTAAACATACGTTTGACTCTTTCCTCGTGCCATTTCTTCAAAACAAGCAGCACACACTCACTTTATTTAAAATACACTACAAGTAGTAAAATAAATAATGATATAAAAATACTTTTCCAAAATCACTAAATCACAAAACAGTCGATCGAAAAATAAAATGTTCGAAATTTAAAAATATTGGCGGCAACCGGTCACATGAGCACGCACGATTCTTGTCAGGCCCGTGTCACCTCTCTCAGAGATCTCAACTCGGATCCGGACGCGGTAAGCGCCCTACTTCGGGTCAACTAGTTGATCGTGTGAGAAAGAGATAACAAATCAACTTTTCTAACAATATAGAATGAGACGCACATTATTAGAAATTATATTAAAATTTACAAGTAACATTTATTATATTGTATTTAGCAGTATTAACGTAAGTTCGATACATTAATCTTGCTATTTTGACACTTATGAGATGCTTTGTTTGCATTATACAAGAACATTATGTTATAGAACTATGTATAGACATGAATGCACACCTAACGCCACCTAGTGCGGTAAAACTGCATTTTCAAGTATCAAGTGAACGTGATAGTGTTAGTGATAGTGCTTCGGTAACTGCTTTGTCGGCATCTACACCCACACTAAATATATGCTTGTATACCACAGATGACAGTACCGTCGTGGTACTTAAATCCATGCCCATCAGTTTAATAATGGAGACCATATTAAATTAAAGTTATTACCTCTTAGACATTTCAATAATATAAATGTAGGAATTATTACAATTACAATTTACAATGAAACAAAATTTATAATATGTGCATAAATATGTATATAATAAGATTCCAAAATATATTTAATCACAAAATTTTTAATTAAATTTTATTATTAAAACCTAATAATATAATGCTAAATAAGATCATTGTACACATAATATATTATTTTAGAATATAGAATTAGACATAAGAGCTGAATAGGTAATCATATGCAATTTTATATCACAGTATTAATAAGACGTAAAAAGTATTATTTTGAAACTTTATTTTATTTAATTTTATCTACATAAAATTTTAAATAGATTATGTAACATAATGATGGAAGAAATAATCCAGTTCTTTTTGTAACTAATGAAAAGAACAACATTAGAACGGAACCAATGCTGGCAATTTATATAAAAAAACAATTCCTTTTGTTTTGTGTATACATCTTATATGATATTTTTTGATCAAATCAATTAATGGATATTGTTAGATACCTATATATTCCGGGAAAATATCTTAAAGTCATATCGTAACATAGCCGGTAAATTCACCTTTATCGCCATGCTACATCTACCTAAATACAAATTATGGTTCAACAACGCCAGTTGTCTTACCATAAAATTAAATAATGAGATAATTGAGGAAGAAAGTGAAACGGAAGGAATATTCATTGTAGCCCATTAATTAAACTCGATGATATCATGTCAACACATTTAGAAGAAAGTATCTTTGAAGGCACAGTAGCATATCAGTAGCCATCAAAAAAGTACTAACTGTCAATCCTTACTAATATTAGAACTGCGAAAGTAACTTTGTCTGTCTATCTCGCTTTCACCCCCAACTGAACTGATTTAAATGATATTTGGTATACAGATAGTTAAGACTCTGATAAAGGAAATAGGATAGATGAAAGGTTGCTTCGAAGTACCGTCATATTAAAAGCTAGAAGCTTGTAACTTATTTTTTAGACTGTTGATTAAATATAAATAAATATGACATACGAAATAACGAATAAATATGACATAGTCGCGGGCAGATGTAGTAATAATATAAATACAAAAAATATACAGAGAACATTACCAGAAACGTTAAAGTTACAAGCGAAAGTTAGTAATACAATAATAATTTGACCTATAACAAGTTACAGCGTGTATCTTCAATTATACGTTTCGCAGCCTCTTGTATTATGAATTAAGTCATTTATCAAACAACAGCTGTATGTGGACGGTTAGTTATGTACACATATATATGTATAAAAAGGTAGGTATAAACAATATAACGAGTAATGAAAGAAATTACATCTGTGTCGGTATATATATACGTAGTTTCATAACATTTATTTCATTGTTCAGTGACTCTTGTTTTCCAAAAAGCTGATTTACTTCTATGTACCCTTTCATATTTTCCATTCACTAATTTTATTATTTCTTGATCTTCTTGGATTCTCCCTTCTAAGACTTATTTTTAAAACGTACCCAATATATTGGGTACTAACAAGAGAAAGAGCTCCCACTATTCCTAAATGCTTAAAACGCCATCGTTAATCGTGACTTCATTCATAGTTTAAATCTTTACTTGTGTAAAGATTTAAACTATGATGGATCACTCGGAGTCCGAAACTCCGAGTCTGAGACTCGGACTTATTACAAACAAGCCACTTTGACAAAAATATCTATCTAACAAGGAACTATCTGTCTTATATGTCTTTTAATATACATATTTTTGCATATTATTTTTTTGCCATTTAATAACAATTTTAAATAAAAAATGCTTCATAAACTTATGAAAAGATTTGTTAATTTATTGGGGAACGCAATCTATTCCTACAGTAAACAAAGCTTGTATTATGAGTACTAACTAGACATCTGATATAAATACTTAGATACATTTTTTTGTAAATACATACTTAAAAAAAATAGAAAACACCCATACCGATACAAAGAATCATATTTATGAATATAAATGTCCACCACCGAGACCGTCAATACTTTTTACTTTTACAACAATTCTTTTTAATTGTACATATTACAAACAGCTAACAACTGCGGTTGTAGAGTGTTCTGTTTATAAAGATAGATTATGATATTGTTATCACTGTATTACAACATCTATAAATAGTAAACAAAGAGTGAAAAATATACTACACAATATCTCCAATAATGTGATATTGAAACGTCTATCGTATGCTACTAAAGTACCTAAAGACAACCGATCGAGATGAATATTACCAAGATAACCTGTATAGAGATAAACCTCTATAAATAGTAAGTATATTTCCTGACTATATTTGCAGATTTGCTACTTGCAGACACTTCAGGATTATTTTGTTTATCCTTAAGGGATTCTCTATATTCAATTGCAGATAAATACGATTTATATAATCCCATATAAGTCAAATAACTATACCACTTATAATATAAAGCATACTATTCAGATGTGAGATTAAATATTGTTGAAATGGCATACAAATGACCCTAATTTTCTTATATTCATTTTATTTTTATATGTACAAAGAGTACACAAAAAAATATTTGACATCCGTGTTTTTATATTTTTATTATGTACTTTTTGTTTTAATAGGTATACATATTATCAAGTTATGAAGGAAATTGTGCAAAGTTTATGTTACTACTTACTATATAACTTATTACAGTTCGTTTGTTTTACAAAACTATATTCCTGGGCGAGCGTGATATAGCTTTAACAGTAGGTAATCCTCAGGAATGGTGACTGGTGGTACTATGGACACAACGATATATTTTATGATGTCCATTGTATTGTTTATGTACACAGCTAACGTTTACTTACCATTAGGTGAGCTGTAAGCTTCTTTGCAAATCCAATGATATAAAAAAATACGTCAAATTATTGAAACTATGTAATTAGAAATGAATTCTGTAATAAAAATTACTTACACTTTAATTTTCTTGCCTTCCGATTGAGAGATGGTGGCAGGAGGAGGCGGAAGGTCATCCATAGGCACCTCCTCGTTAGGAGGCGAAGGAGGCGACTTATCAAACTCAGCTATCGGGGCCAGCTCCGGCATCGGTGACACCGAGTTGCTGTCCATAGCCGACAACTTTATGGGAGACACTTTGGCTATTTTGATTGCTCGTTTACACCCCCGGTTACACCGGAGGTACAAGCTCACAAAAAGTTAAAGATCACAAACGCGACTGGAGCAAACACTTGCACTTCACTCGCTCACAGTGTTACCACAGCACAGATAAATTCGATCCAGTTTTCCGATAAAGCACTGGCGAGTTCTGGGATTAGTTCCGGACGAACTTCAGGACCTGAAAGCGATTAAAGTGTTATTACTTACGGCACTTGTGGAGAAACCATTACAGTCAAGCTCAGTATTATAGGTGTTGATATGTTTATTTTAATTGCGGAGTCTTTGACCGAATACGGATCAGAATAGTCATTTCAGTTCGTTGAATATATCACTGTATTTATATTCATATTATCACAACGCTGACTAAAAAACAATATTATGAAAAACTGAAAGTTGAAAATAATTAATAATTATCTTATATTAAATTTTATATAAAGTAGTAACTCCTTCTCTACTAATGACAGAAGATAAGAGTAGAACGATAATTGGTTGTTACAGTTATGATTTAAATATATTTATTATTTATAAATAAAATAATTGAACATAAAGTATATATAACAGATTTCATAAATTATATTAAAAAGTATTTGTGTATCTAAAAACAACAGTATTGACCATACCCTACGAAAACACGGAAGGACAACGTCCTGTTCTGTACCCCACCTATTATTATTGAACTTCGCTTGACGTGACGCCACGGAAGGGACTGACACGAGCGTAGTGTAACATATGCTGTTGATGTTGTTTTGTTTTCACAACTTCCATATAAACAGCACATTGACCACAGCTTAGAGGAAAGCCCAAAATAGAAATGATGTACGAGTATGTACTTGTACAAATTCATACAATGCGACTTATCATTTTGAATGTTTTGTTTTAATAGTGGAATAAGTTACATTGACCTTCACGGCGGTTTTATTACGGATATAAGTTTAAAAATCAAAACCATATATACCTATATTCTTATATATAACCCCTGTAGTATATTTTTCCCCTTTATTACTCGTCTTCTTCCCTCCTCTAAGATCGATCCCCTGTCCCATTTCAATGAGGATCAAAACTAAGACGGCCTAAACCGAGGTTGAAACCTCTAGAAAAGTTATATTTGTCAAGCACGAGTTGGATTCTACTCCTTCCTGCCCACATTTTCTGCCAATACCTAAACCTAAAAAGGCCTACTACAGCATTAAAAAAACTTATAAAAACAGATAATAAGAATGTACACAAACAAATTCATTAACAAGCTCCAAGTTTAATGTATTTTTTATAGGAAAGAAACAACAGAATATTAGAATTGCAGATTTAAACTACAGGTCTTATGCTGAGTTGGTTCGCTATTCACCGTTGCAGCATATAAACTATATATATTTCTATTTATATATTTATTTTTTCTGTACTTTCATTTCACTATATGACTGTAACATGTGAATAAAGTATTTATTTATCTATATTCGACGGGATGCACTATAACTATATATACAAACCTCAGAACATAGTAATGGATTATAGCTATGTATATTACATATTTTTTAAATAAACTAAATAACGAATATTTAAGATGTCGTGATGTTGGTCAATAAATTGACGTTATAAAAACATAGGAAATTACATGTGAATGGCATACAAGCTAATCACTACTAGCAATCACGATTACATTCAACGCCTAATCAGATCTGTATTGTGCAATTGTTGTACATACAACATGCACCCGAACCATTATAAACTGGAAATCTAGAAATTACTTTCGCTTTCCGTGTGGGAATCCCGCAAAAGTCGCGTTACTTATTGTTTCATGCATGTGAACAAGAAATTGAAAGCTACGACGATGTAAGCTTATGAGTTCAATAGCCGGTAATATGTAATTTCAGATCTGAGCCTGATGGTGAATTTTTTGACAAATTAATCAAAAATGGTTTATTATCACTCAGACTCACAGCATAACGTAAACAAGAATTAGATTTTTGAAACGTAATTCAACAACGACACAAAATCTTGCACTCTATAAAATTTTAAAATACATATAGTCAGATTCATATCTATAACAATAATCATTACAACACTGATAATCATTCTCATAGGTTGTGTACCTACTTATGTGTGTTTGTATTAATGTGTGTGTGGGAATTGAATATATTACAAAATTGAGGCTTGAAATATTACTCTTGGTTTCATGATCACAAGATGAACTTGGGTCAAAACAAATTTTGTTTTAAAGTTATGGACAAAGGAAATTCAACCCCTTGTTTGTAATACATTTTAATCCGTTTATTTGCAGCAGCTTAAACTTTTATCTCCAGATATTAATACAACTTATTGAATAAACACAATCTCGGTATCGCTAACGGATTAAAAGTGCTGCTTCGATTTAATCCATTTACACGTCGCTTTCATAAATATATCTAGCTGTGTAAGTTACTGCTAAACCTTGATACATTATTAAAATAGCAAAAGGGAGTAATAATGTTCCGGTTAATAGTATTCGCCATTGCATCATGTCTAGTTTCTCTACGACTCAAATTGCATCCGTAGGGACCCGAGGGAGTGGAACCCTCCATATAATATGAAAACATCAAGTAACTAGTGTTGATATAAATATATCTTTAATAACAACAACATACAGTACAGTCTAGATTCTAAATCAAAACATATTTTCTGAATAACACGAAGTAAGAATAGAATTCCAAAAGCAAATCGACATGAAATCTTTATTTCATGCTGACTATGGTTGAACTCAATGTATTGAGTTGCAATGTGATTCTTCGTTTTATTTAATTAATGCAAGAACAATAATTAAATAAAACGAAGAATCACTTTTAGGTTCGTAACTATTTAATATTAGAGAATTTCTAAATGATTCAAAATGAATAGCAAATTATAGCAAGTCTAAAACAGAACTGAACACAACAGCAACGGCAGATCTAGATAATGCTGAGTATAGTTGAGTGTCTCAGAGTGCAGCCCCAGAGTACCGGCAAATGAGGACAGGAGTCTCGAGCAGGCTTCGCTGTTAGACTAACTTGAAAGTAACTTAACTACTGTTTATGTTTGTGAAAATAAATTCAAACGAGTTATAACAGGAATAGTTTTATGGTAAATAAAGGTTAATTTATTCAATTATTAAATTTATTATCTTCTTTATTATTCCTGTTAAAACCGATTTAATTATATTAATAATGTATACCAAAAGCAAAAATATTTAAATAAGTATTCATTTTACCGTGTTTTAACTAACTTTAGATACGGTAGTTAAAATGTAGATACAGAAAACATTATTATATATCGAGCAATAATGTAATACCAAGTACATATGTATACATTTTTGATAGCCATTTAGAATTTATTTTTTTAAATATTCATTACTAATATTGCACTAAATTGTCTATAGAATAAATGAGTGTGAATTATAATAACTATACCATGAGCTTCGGTACCATTAATAACCTGCAAGTCTTACCAATCACTGATTCATTAATTACTGCCGTGCTAGTCTATAAAAGTTAGTAGGTAACGTCAGGAGTCACAATAACGTGTTAATGGTACAAGGCCTCCGATGATTGAATAAAATAAACTGCCTCAAATGCCACCGGAACAATGAACTAAATAACGTACAAGAACACCCACACCACACATGAGTTCAATCAAAAAATTGCTGTATTATCCGTACGACATACATACAATATGTGTTCACAAGAATATAACAATTACTATGAAATACAACTATAGTATTGAAAAACTATATCTAGAAAATTGAGTCACGTGAGTTTTCTACTGACACATATATACCGATATTTCGAATTTGATAATCATAAAAGAGATACCAAATATGTTTTAATAAAATATAACCAATTATCAGCCGAGACAAAAATAAAAGAGAATATGATTACGATTAAACCTTATACATGTAATCATCACATGTGTCATCTGATTCCATCTTAAACAATCAGTATACTGTATATTCTATTCTCTACGCTGTATATATACGAGTATATACTGTAAGTATAATTTGTTATTTATTGCTTTAGCCTAATTATAGTTCAGAGTTAATAAATTAATAAACCCTGTTCGAGTTAATTATATTTCGTTGTTACGCTTTGATGTAATTAGACTATGTTACTATTATATAATATACGTAACACTGCAGTCGTCATCCGGCTCTACAGTTACCCATTCCCGACGCATAGTGCCAGATGATTATGTGGCTTATGGTTTATAGAATAGAAGAAATTATCGGGTAGTAGACGAGCGAGGAAGCGAACAATTTGATATGGCCTCAAATCACTCCTCTGGGGAAGGCTCTCCTACGCGCACAGATCCGTCCCACTTCGGCGGTTTGCAATTTATTTATGCATCAGTACTTATCTATGGTTACACAGCCGGCAAACAAGCAATTATTCTTTTATTCATGACATATATCTTGTTCTATCAAACAGATTATGTCCTGTTAACGGATGGACAGTTAAAAGGTGTTATGTTCTGGTTAAACGGCTTATATATCACAAAACTTATTTACAACTACATAGAAATATTCATTGCATTATATAAAATAACTATTTACCCACTGCATACTTTGTCTCTGTGACCAAACTAATTGACTGGAATCAAAATTATGTGTATTTCCCTGTTCTCTATACCAAAACCAAGCATCGTTATTTTTTGTATTACCTCTTGACGTTACTAAATTTAGCATAATGCATTTTTGATGCTAAAATTAATAATAATAAGTTAATATACAATCTCACTTTCAAATTTAGTAATAATTATGAAAGATGTGACATTACATAGATACAAAAAGGGATAAAATTACAGTCAACTTTGGAAAGTAATTACGATGAAAAATTAAGATTGACCTAAATTATAATTTAATATATTTTTAAACGTACTCAATTCCCAACTTTTTTTCTATGTGTATAAAACGATATCGTCATCAAGATTCTTTCCAAAAATTCAATAATTTATTGTTGAGTTGGTATTATCACAGATAACTTAATATTACATAGTATTTTTATTTTTATGTTAACAATTAGTTTGTATAATTATAATTTTTATTTGGAATAAGTATTCCAAATAAAAATTATAATTATAATAGTACCGACTAATTCAGACACACACACATAATACAATATTTATGTCTATCCTGACCTGTGTAAAGAACGTGTTATTATTTTCAAATTACAATTT